ATGAAGAAGAGGAAGAGGAGGAGGCCCATCCATGCATCGTTGCGCTCGACTGTCCGTCTGCTCGTCCGTCCGTCCATCCTGGACGGTCAGTCCTTGGGATCCGAGGGATGGACGGATCGCAGATTACGTGCATTTGAGATTCACTCGCGGAGGAGCGCGCGGCTTGAGAAGAGCGGTGCGCTTCTCAGCGTGGTAATAAATTACGATCGTAATCGTCGTATATACGCGCGCACGCATTGTCGGTCACGGTGGACGCGCCGATGACTCGGCCAGCTTGGAAAGCCTTCTTCTTCCTTCTCCTCTTGTTCCTCCTCCTCCTCCTCCTCCTCCGTCAGCTGCCGGGCACCCATTCACGGGCCCCGCTGGTGGCGAGAACAGAGAGAAACCGTCCGTCGCGTCGCCGCGAATTAATGGCGCTTAATTAATTAGCCGGCGCGGCTACTTCGACCTGCGCGGATCCGTGCCGATCCGATCCGATCCGGTCCTCGCGAGCGACGCGCTTCGAGCGCAGCCTGTCCTGTGTCCTAAGTGATCCTTTTCTCCCGGCTCGTTTAATTTTCGCTTTTCAATGCGAGAGCATATTTCACTCGCGCGCGCGCGCAGTCGCCTTTAATCGGCGAGGTCCATTAAAAGTCCCGCAACCTCTCGGGGCCCGATGTTCAGGACCCGGGCCCCGAAAGCTGGCTATCACGTATTACGATATACACGCGGCCGGCTCTCGTTCATCGAGCCCGGGAGACTATCATATTCGTCCTTCTCGCCAGCGATGCTCAAAGATTCGCACAGCCCCCCCGTCGATGTCTGGAGGCCTTGACTGGGGCCCTTCGGCCACCTAACTTCGCGAGTCCGGCATACCCGGCGGGCTCACCGCTCACTCTCTCATCGCCCGCCGCTACACACACACACACACACACACACACACACACATATACACACGCTCGACCATACGAGTCCACGCACGCATCCTTATTATATCCGCACGCGCGCGCGGATATCCTTCTGCCGACGGCACCTCTTGCCGGCTCCCTCGGGCGTCCGAATCCGAGCCGCTGGATATAACTGGATTTCTCGTCGGCGCAACAGGTACGCACGTAGCGCGGTATTTGTCAAACGGTTATGAGGCGACGTTGCGCGTGTGTGGCACCGGCGACGATAACAAATTGTCGCCTCGACGGGGTTCCGGCTCCGCGGCGATTACGATCGCCGCGATTAAAGGCACCTCGTTGTCTCGGAAATGGGCGGTTTCTCGCGAGAGAAGAAAGGGAGAGAGAAAGAGAGAGAGAGAGTGAGAGAGAGAGAGAGAGAGAGAGAGAGAGAGACCACTCGTGCTCGCGTCCACTCGTGGAGGACGTCTCAGCGCGTAATAATTTAGGCAAACTGTGTTTATACGAAGGGGAATGATAAAAATTGAACGAAACCTCGGTCGATCGATTATTCTCTCAGGGAGGGACTTCTCTTTTCGATTCTCTTTACGTTATTATCAATGATTAATAGCGCTTAAGTCGCCAATTATTGATAACACTTGCTACGGATTTCACGGAGGAGAATTCGATATTGATTTTTCGAACATATTTTCCTATTAATTCCAGCCAAGCGATGAGATATTATCCTCGCGCGACGGCGCCGAGGAGGCACCTTCGTTCCAGTCCGTTTCGTCGGCAGAGATTTACAATTCATCAAGGTAAGAAGGGCACGAGGGTAGATCGATCGTGTACGCCGACGAAACGCACGGCGAGAGGCCGCACGGCGGTCGGACGTAAATTTATCACGACGTTATCTCGCCCCATTCGAACCACGTTCGTTAATTTTATCCCGGCCCCTGTCCTCTCAGGACCTCGCTCCTCCTTGTCCTTCTCCTTTCTCTCTTTCTCTCTCTCTCTCTCTCTCTCTCTCTCATTCTCTTTCTCCTTCTCGCCTCCCTATCACCTTCCTTTTTCTCTCACCATTTCTTTTTGTTCTTTTCCAACCCCTCGTCGTTGCCTCGTCAAGGAACGAGGATCAGGTAAATCGACTTGAAAATCCAAAGTCGATAGGAACTTGCGTTCCTCGGCAACGAATTTGGCTCTGGAGAGAGAGAGAGAGAGAGAGAGAGAGAGAGAGAGAGAGAGAGAGAGAGAGGGGGGAGAGAGAGAGAGAGAAATTTAGGACTCGGTCCTCCGGCATGTATCGCGTGACTCTCACGCGCAGTTCGAGGCCTGGTTTCGATCTTTTCCCTGCCGAAGGAGGAGGCGAAGAGAGCGAATTAACTCGAAGAAAAGGATGCTTCAGCGCAGCGGTCGTCGCTGATTCGACCAGGCGGACTCCGTGAACGATAAGCGACGAGAGCTCGTCGCAAACGGAATCGATTCGTCCTGCGACGAGGACGAGCGGAAAAGAGATGCGAGGGGGTTAGTAGTCGTTCACGAGAGAGGTAAACGCGAGAGGACAAAAAGTCGCCGCTCGGTAAAATCCCAGCGTTTTTTTCAGCCGACTGTTTTAAGCGGAGCGGACAAGCCGCTGTCAGGTGGAATTCCACGCGCGGCGATACACGCGGCCGCGCGGGGTCGTCAGGCGTAATGGATATAAATTTAATTAAGATTAGGATTTCGGGGAAGAGAGCCGGCACCGGGCCGGAGCAGGTTCCTGCTTACTCCGCGCTGGGCCTCTTCTTGTCGTCCCCCGTACCTTCACCCGATCGCCAATTAAAACTCGTCTCTCGGCGCTTCTCTCGGTGACTTCGGCCGTCACGAGTGATTCTCACGAGGCGCACCATTACGCGTGCGGGGCGTATTATCATTATTATTATCGTTATTATTATATTGTCATCCGACGTTGTCATCGCCGTATCGCCGGCGATCGCGAGCCGTTTTCTCGCGAGCTCTCGTCGGACCAGTCCGATCGGTGCACCTGTACGAAGATGAAAACGAGACGAGACGACGACAATGACGTCGCGTTAATTAACGCTTCTCATTAATACGGATCTCGCTGGCCCGATCGAGAAAGCGCGAACGGGCCCCCCTTCGAAAGCGATTTCGTCGCTCGAGCGAGAGATGCGGCGGCGGCGGAGGCGGCGGCGGCGGCGGCGGCTCGGGATATTCGCGATATTTTGTTCCCTTTTGTTCCCTTCCTCAGCCCTGCCGTCCCAACAGAGTGGAGCCTCTCGCAGGTCCTTCGAGAGTTGCTGCCTCGACCTCCCTTTCTGCTCCGACCGCCTTCTTAATCTTCCTTTAATTCCCTGGCTTTCTCGCTTCTTTAGCTCCTTTTTCCTTTCGTTTCCCTTCGTTCCACCTCCTCGAGCCGTGCCTTTTCTTCTTCTTCTTCTTCTCCTCCACCTCGTCTTTCTCCCTCTCCTCCGCCGCGTCCTCCTCTTTGTTGTCGCTCCCTTTTTGTACCGTCTCCCTCGGCACCGGTGTACCGTCGGTCTTTCGCCGGCTCTTCACCGGCGAGAGAGATCCGCGCCGACAGGTTTCGAACTGTCTCGGATCTCGAAGAGATCCGAGATGCTGCGGCGCGAAACCGAGAGCGGTGCAGTCCGTTTCTTCGTCCACGCGTGTTTTTTCTTCTTCCTCTCGGACAATTGCCGATACCCTGTGAATCGTCGTCGAAGCCGGTGTTGTCTTCGTAGGAGGAGTCGTCGTCGTCGTCGTCGTCGTCGTCGGGGCTTCGTTCGAAATTGATATAATCAATACGCGTTAAACGTGTGAGAGAATATCGCGTTTCGAATCAAAAATATCCCGTCGCGATTAATCGTGATGAAAAATTGAACGAATGAAAAATTCCTCCATTATCACACCGGACCTCCGGCGGATTTCGCAAAATTTTTCTAGCGATTTCACGCGATATTTTACGTTATTTATCCCATACGGTAATCCTGATCAATGACGTTTAGATAGAGATAAAGTCGTTGTAATTCGCACGGAACGGTGGATGATTCGCGAAGGAGAGCCGCGGTGTTTTCGTCAAGTTGCCGCGACGATTCTGCGCAGTGATGCGGCCGAGGATATGCAATCGAAAGGACAGTCGATGTGCAACGATAAGAAGAAAACGAGTCCTTCCCACGCGGCGGATCGGCCGGACGACGGCGATCCATTAATCCAGCTAGATTACCGCTTTATTTTATCCTTGCTTTATTTTATCCTTCATCACGCGTTCTCATGCCTAAGCAGGTCGTTTCTTGCCACGGCCACGTTAACCCCTCTCCCTCTCCTCCGCGTGTCGCGGTCGTGTGACCGTGTGAATAATTACACGGAAAGAAAGATTCCATTCGTGTGAACATTCTATTCGTGTCAATCCGTGTTGAAATTTTCTGTCCAGGGACCGAGCGAAAATTCGGTCGCAGGAACAGTAAGATTCCCACGGCGGGTCTCTGTTCAGTCAATAAATCTCGGTTAATCCGCAGTCAGCCGCGAGTTGGATCGTGCGTTGAAAGGAATGTTTTCGGTCTCGATAATAACGAGACGTTCCTCGTCGCCGAGTTTTCGTCCGGGATATTTGTTCCGCGTACAAGACGCGAGTAATAAAGAGGCGCGCATCGTTTTGTGGGAATTAACGATTGCAAGGACGATCGTCTGGGAGGGAGAAATCATCGTGGGGGGAATCGCCTCGGCCGAGAGATCGATGCCGATCGATGCCGATCGAAGCCGATACCGAAGTCTGTGACGCTAAAGTCGCTGATCCGTCGCGCGAATGATTAAAACGCCAGATTGCACGAGAAATCGCCGCGAGGATCGGGCCTCGCTTCTGTAATATAGACGTATGCTCCTGCTCCTGGCTTGGCGAACGGGTCGCCGCGCCGAAACTATGCAGCTCCGATACCTTTTTATAAGGACGAGCATCTACCGGAGCCTTTTCTCGAGATTTATCGATCGGATCGCGCACACGCCTGTCGCCTTCCTATCGATCCAATGACGAAATGGAGATCAACGAAATGCAGAGAGAAAAAGAGGGAGATAGAGAGGGAGAGAGAGAGAGAGAGAGAGAGAGAGAGAGAGAGAGAGAGAGAGAGGAGAGAAGAGACTTACCAGCAAGTTAACGGCGCCGGTGTGATCGTCCACCCAAGCGAGCAGGATGTCGGCGCCCTTCATATATGTCTTTTCATTGAAACCGATGCCGACGTAGCCCAATGTCCTGGCGGTGACCTTGAAGGTCACCTCCTCTTCGTCCAAGGGATCCCACTCGAGGATGACGTCGCCATCCTCGTCGAGGACCTCGTACCTGATGAACCTTGGTTTCCCGCGTTGTTTCTGTGGACTCCTCTTGATCCTGCTCGTCATCTCCTCGTCCTTAATTCCCTCCGTTTCTCGCGTATCCTTGACTAGCTTGTCGATAAACGGAAAATATTTTTTCGGTACACGACCCCATGACTTCGGTGGTCTCTTGAAGCTAGGATTGTCGGAGGCTTTCGGGTTGGTCCTGTTGTTTCCGTTGATGACCTCGAATTGTGAGTTCTCTTCGTCCTCCATTTCCTTTTCGGGATTCTCCGAGTTTTCCATCGAGAGTTTCTCTTCGGAATCCGCGGCTGCAAAGAACATCTCGTCGAGTTCGTCCGGTTGCTCCTGCCAGACTGGCAACTCGTCCTCCAATTCTTCTCTTCGTTCTTCATTCTCCACTACCGTGGTGTCCTGCGGAAGCACCGGTTTCACTTGATTTTTAAAAATGCTGGATGTCGGCTTCGCAGTTTCGATTAGAACCGACGCGTTCGCTTCAGCAGCATCCTCCAGTGTCTCCAACGTCGTTTGCTCGAAGTCACTCGAGAGCATCTCGTGTTGACCAGGATCCAGATTCTCTTCTTGCAAATTCGGAATGTCCAATGCGTCGTTCTCATAATACATCTGCTTATTCGCTTTCCAGTACGTCAGCCAGTCCTTGTCGAAGTTCAACCGCTGCTTTTTGAAGTTACCGACCCTGAGCACAGGCTTGACCTCAAGCAGGCTTCTCTTACTGCGAGAGGCCGGGTTCATGGGATGCCGCTTATTCCTGTACAACGTCGTCCTCATGGTCTCGTCCATGTGCTGGACGTAGAGGTCCAATAGATCGCACTTGACGATCCAGCACACGCCCAACGTCATCATCAGCCTAAGTAGCAGCATCTTCGTCTACTTCCCGTACCTTCCTGATTCCTCATACGATCATTTAGGCAAGTCTCGTCATTCGCTTCACCGTCGATATCAGGGCCATCAATTTATTTCTCTCTCTCTCTCTCTCTCTCTCTCTCCCTCCTCTGTCGTTCCCTTTCCTTTTATCTACCTGTCTAATTGAATGTAATTAAATGCACATCCGGTGTGGATATCAATTTATCACTAGCATTTTTCAACCGTCGCACTTGAATCGAGTTCCAATCGTCTGGGAACTCTCGGTGGATTGATCGTCGTAGTTGAAAGAGGCGATCTCTTCTCGCGAATGAGAAATTTTTGCCGATTATTTCTGCCGGGAGGACGATTTGACGGTAATCGAATTGCAGTCCGCTCGTGTTCGCTCATGCGACAAAAATGAAGACGACTGGAAGCGCGACGAGCGCGGGTCTCTCACACGTATCCTCGTTAATTCGATTTTTGAAGCACCGGGCTCGAGAACGGTCTTCCGTACATGTTGCGCGGACGACAGTTGTGCCGGGACTAATTTAAACACGCGGCTGCCGCTGCCCCTGCAGATGCTTGCAGCTGCTTACCTGGCACGGTCCCCTTCCTCAGGGCCCCGGCACAGGGACGTATTGATTCCCGTCTCGTTCCGAGACGCTTTCACGTTCGGCGGCTTTTAAACGGGCGTAAACAGGATGAATCCCTTCGGCGCATCTTTTTCCCGCGATCTCGAAAAATCATCGGGAGAGACGAAATCTCGCGCGTGTGTGCGTGCGTGAGCCTGTGAAAATACAGGTAGATGGGAGTATTCCTTACCTACGACGGAATTTCGAGCCGATGGAACTGACAAGAGGAGGAAGACCTCAGGACACAACATTTCACATGTACGTGTATGTGTGTAGCATGGTTTTAATTAATGTCTAATAATAAAAAAAGAAAAAGATTCTAAACGCGTGATAGAAGCACGTATTACGATTCTGCTCAGGAGTGAATCATCTAGCCAGACGTGCCCCCCTTCCTCCCAGCGTTTCGAGAGATATCGAGAGACTCGTTGGTCTCTGAAGCGTTTATTAACGATCAAGTTCGGTTTCCTTTCCTTTCGCTTTTCTCTTTGCGCACGGTTGATTGCGTGCGGCTAATAACAACGACAGCACTCATCACAGCCGCTCTAAGAGCTCCTTCTTGCGGTAATTCGCGAGGCCATATCCGACGCTGTAACGACCGTAGCGTCCTAGCGAAGGACAGAAAGCGAGATTACTGTGATCGGTGTGCACACCACCTGGCCGAACTTCACGTGGTTTCGTGAACTCGCTCGCGAGTTCGGCCAGTCTCCTGAGGTTCTCTCGAGTGCGGCGGTAATTGCATACGAGTCGAGCGTACGACTCGAGCTTCTTCATCCGTAGCTTTGAACGGCGGGCGTTCAATAAGGGACGCGGGAAGGATCGAGCGGCGGTGCTTCCTGCGGAAGCGTCCCTCTTTTTCCCCGTCCCCGGGTCTTCTTTTTCCCTCTTTTTGTAACCGGAGTCTCGCACATCGATGACGACGGTGGCGGCGGTAACGATGGTGGAGCGTTTGCTCACAGAAGGGAGCGAGGGGCTGTGCGAGCAACTGCAGCAGATGCGAACCCTTGGCACGCGCCCTTCTGTTATTCAGTGATTCTCATATAAGCCCTCGCCCTTCCGGTGCGAGCAGTGCCTCGCGAAGCCCCTTTACTCCGGCGGAGCCGTCCACGCGAATTTCGTATTTCTTCTGGCACGCGACGGAGTTTCGAAATTGTCCGCGAACATTCCACCGGTGGAATTTAAACGAGCCGAGCACCGTCCAATTGTCCGTGACTCCTTCCTCCCTTCTCTGTTTTCTTGCGTCGCATGTAATGCGCCATTTGTAGGATCGATGCGGCCGATTCATATCGATCCTGCCTGGAGATCCCGCTGTCGATCCGGTGTTTAATCGTGCGAATCTCATCCGGTCGGCGGCCGTTTCAGACACATTATTCCGCTTAAGCGTCCGCACGTGTGCAGAAGCCAACTGTATCGAGTTACTTCCTGTAACTGACATTGAAACACTATACTTTACGTGAGAAGGGTTAGCGATCCGTATTCTTCACGGACGAGTCGGGTATCGATCGATGCGGCAACCACGACGAACAACGCGTCGCGGAATCTCCTCCGAACGCTTCAACTTTCGAATATCGCATATGTGTGCTGCTTGAGAAAGAAGAACAATTGTATCTCTGCTCGCCGATAAGGAATATATCTGTCGGCAGGTGTTTCGACGTATTTTCACGTCCACGTTTCACCGATCGCGCGTAGCTATCGCAGTCTAACATGTCCAATATTTCTTGTTTCAACGTCTCAACGTTTCAACATTTGTTATTTACGATACGTCACCAATCGATCGGCGCGTTCGTTGATCGAGCCACCCATTCCTAACGCGACGCGCGAATCGACCAAAACTGTCAAAACTTGGTAGAAAATGAGGAAGTTGAAATTGCAAAGGATTGAGCAATTAAGTTTCATTACTTTTGTAACAAATATTTACTTTACATTTGTTTTATATTTAATTAAATTTCATACTTTATATTCAAGTATCTATTTCATATTTATTTTATTAATAATACATTTTTTTAATTCGATATACGAACTTCTCTATTTTGTTGAGCAATATCAGGAAATTTTTGATACTTATTATTGCTCCCGGCTGTGAAGAAGTTTCTTTTGTTTTCTGATATATTTGCAGATCTTTGATATCGCGAAAAGAAATTTACGTAAATGCAGAAAAATGTATTCTATTTGAAATATTCAGATATTCTGACAATAACGAAAATTACGCACGACTGCATCTGAATCGAAAGGTGCGAAAGCGCGCTCGCGCGCGCGAGTCCGCGAAATTCCCGCCACGCTCTCGCGAGTGTCGCGCCGATCTCGTCGTGTGGTATTCTTATCGCGACGCGGCCAGGTATTCTTATCGTGAAGAATAGAGAGTCCCGATCTCCCTGAGAAGGACAGAGGAGAGGTGCACGACACCGTGCTCGCGGCAGTAGGTGCAAGCGGCGGTGCCGACGTTAGTATTCATCCGGCGAAATTATTCCCCGACGTTCGCCCACCGCGTGTCGGCTTATATTTACGAGAAGAACAACGCCGGTCTGCGTCGCGTCGGAAATCGCGTCGTCCTGGGAAAAACCGAAGCCGCACGGCTATACGCGGAGCATGCGAAGCGATCTGCTCGATTCGTTCCCGCGGCGCGCGACGCGACCACACGTGCACGCGACCGGCCTGTCGGCTGCTCGATCGATCAATCGATCGATCGATATCGGGACACGCACGATCGATCGCGCGGTGTACTCCGCGCGTGTCTCCTCGCGTCGATGGCCGAAATAAATGATCGCGAAGTCGCGGTTCCGCTCGCGCGCACGGACAATTTCCCCCCTTCGACCTTCGACGCGTCTCGCGCCTGCTGTTGTCGATATTAATCAGCCCGGCGATCGTGTAACTTTTTCCCCAGGAGCGGAGACGCTTAAACGCTTAAAGTGTCCATTTTCAGACGGACTTTATCGGTCGTGTAACTTTTTAAAACGCGGGACCCTCTCGTCTTTTGCGTTCGCACTTCTGTGGAAAGGTTAACTCCTCGGAGGTGAAAAGTTAAAGTTAAGTTCCGACGCGGAGTTAACGCAGTCCAAAAAAAGATAAAAAGAGAGAGAGAGAGAGAGAGAAGTCAGATAAAAATTTCACGATGGGGCTAGATTTTTTATCAGAGGCGCGAAGTGCTCTCCGCGACTGAATGACGCGACGAAAAAGTGAACCCCCACGATTCTCTCGGGGTTTGCTGCGACGGCCACGGGACGGGACGAGGGAAAAGTCCCTTTGTCTCTTCTCGCCAAGCTGCGAGCCGACTTTCCACGTTCGGCGGCGATCTTGAACGCAGGCGGGAATTCAAGCCGTCTCCGGCTCACCTGTCGTCCGCGCGCGTCTGAGCGGGCAAGCTCATGAATACACCTGCTATGTCGTAATTACGTATCGGCCCGACGCCATCTGCCCCTCAAGACTTCGATATCCGATCGGCAGATGCGATGGATTAAGAGTGAAAATGTGCTAGCGACGTAGAAAGTTGCGGATAAGGTAAGTAAAATAAGAGTAGAGTAAATAAGGAAAGAGTACGGCACCCCGGGAGGGCTCACAGCAGGCATCCCTCGCGCGTTTATCAATCGGCTCTCCCCGAGACGTCGTTCAATTTCGCCGGACTCGGTTAATCAGTCGCGAGTCGGGTAATTAGTCGCACTCGCGCGGGCTCGTTAAGAACACCGTCCGCATGTTTCACTCGTTGGATTCTTCGCACGTTGCATTCGGAGAAGCACGAGCAGAACTAATTAAAGGTCAAATCGCGCACGACATTGAATCTTCTTCGCTTGAATTGCTCCGCAGCTGTCAAGTTTTCGGTTCGCCGTTCGCTCGGGAATTCGGAAATCGAGCTGTCGAGGAAGGAATCGGTTGCGAAGGCTGTCGGAAGTACTGATGAGGAACACGCCGGTGTAACTTTGCTCGTGAAGTTGCGTTGTGGGCTGCGCGCGAAGAAGCGGATAATAACTCCGATGCTATTCAAGTCTTGCGTAGATACATCTTGTACGCGCGTAAAGCCTATACGTGCTGGCATGCGAATGTTGTCGAAGCATACCCGGGGGAATTCCGCGAGTGAGAAAGCTTTCTTTCGACGTATTCAGAAACGCGTGTAAGCGTGTAATTAGGTGAAAATCTAATTGTGATCGCGCTAAATATCCACGGAGTGTCGCCGGCCGTGTGAACAGAACTCTCTATGCGCGTATAGAATTAACTTAAAAATGAGTTACACAGTTGTTGCGAGTCAAAAAACGGCTAATAATCTACAAGCATCACATTGCACCGTTCTGTCGCTATCTGTCTTATATCAATCTTATATCGGCATCTTTGTGTGTCTCAAAATAATTTCTTTCTAATTTCGACAGCGAATACGAATAATTAAAATATATAATAGAAATAAATAAAATTTACACACAAATTTTGCTTGAAACGATTCAAACGCTTTGCAAGTCTAATCAACATTACATCTCTTTATTTTTTATCTCTGCAATCGTGTAACTTTGACTTTTCGGTGTCTTCGCACGTGAAGCCAATGGTTCCGTTCGTAGCGTAGATCGAAATCAAAACCGTTTACCAGGTTACCCACTGAACACATAGTGAATGTGTAGAAGAGAGTTCGTATTTTGTGAGCATGGCAGCGTCACATTATGACCAGAGAGGAACCTCCTGAGAGTGGCCGGCACGGCATTTTCTGCGACACTGACAGCTCTGGGTAAATTTTCGTATCAACTAAAGGGGCCCGAAGGGGATCGGAGGTAACTGAAAGCCAATGATAAAATACCGATTGCTTTAGCTACGTTCACGATAATACAGCTAGCAACTATCACTGGTGCGAGGTGAGGGGAAAGACAACACACCGCTGTTCACGTTTTATCTCGCGGCTCCCACGTCTCTCGACGCATGTCACCAGCAGTTGCTGAATCGACTAGGCCACGCTGTGACCCGAATGGCTGCTATGCCCGCTCTATGTCTCCACGAGCTCTGCAACAATTGTTAGGAGACAACCTGTATACAGGGTGTCGCAGAACAATTTTTGCGACGACAACGCCCTAATAGCATAGATGTCTAGAGGATATAGGTCTAGAATACGTCTTGAGGACGTCCTGGGGATGTTTCTTCATCTTCAGGACGTCCTTAGGACATCCCCAGGAGAACATGTGCTATCAGGGCGACGACGACGACGACGACTTTTTGGCCCCGGGGCCTCACTAGCTCCGCTGCCAGCCGCGGGGCTGCGTCCACGTAGCCGTCGTTCTGTCGCCTAGTCCTGTCTCTTTGGCCCCGGGCCTTCTCACTCAATGTTGCCAGCAAAACCGTTCGATTGTGCCAAAAAGTATGCCACATTAGTGCGTTTTGTGCCATTCGAGCTAAATTAATATATTTTGAAGATTTTATAAGAACTGAGGAATCTCTATAAGTAGTTTTTATTGTTTAATCTTGTATTTGCATCTTAAAAACTAACACTTCTTGTGTATCTTTAGAGGTTCGGAAACTTTACTCTGAGGGCCAGTATTCATAGTCCGGTCTTATATTTAAGATCGTCTTAAGTTCATCTTCAGATGCTGTATAGATCATTTCATTGGCTACAGAATATCTGAACGTGAACTCAAGACGGTCTTAAATATAAGATCCGACTATGAATACGGCCCTGAATGTAGAGTTACTGAATTAACCAATCATGACAAAAAGATATTTGCTCTTTTTATTCTTATTGGTTAATCCGATGCTAGTTACTTTATCCGTAATGTGCAAGTTCCGAACGCACTCCAGATAATGTAAGTGCCACTTTATTGGTTATATTAAATCTACATACTCTTGCTTGTAGAATGCGATACGTTTGTCATAGAAGCCAAAGATTTAAAACTTTCACTTAAAAATGGAATTGTATCACTTTTTCTTCTTTTGTCTCACAAAAAATGTATAATCTACCCGTTGACGAATTACTCAACAGTTAAGCTAAGACTCCATGCATGCGGTGAGCTGCGGCAAACGGTTGCGGTGACCAATCAGGAGACAGACGCATGCCGGAGCTTGCCGCAACCGGACTTGCGCCTCCCTCCTGATTGGTCACCGCAACCGTTTGCCGCAGTTCACCGCATGCATGGAGTCTTAGCTTTAAGGCCATTGCACGTACAAAAGTTTTAGTCGTAACCGTAAGTCCGTAAGCAAATTGACCAATCACAATTCGTATATTTCGAGATGCTGGATTGTGATTGGTCAATTTGCTTACGGTCTTACGCTTACGACTAAAATTTTTTTACGTGCAATGGCCTTTACGCAACTGTTGAGTGTCGTGAACGCACCCTATGTCAGCGCGCTCCCACTTCTCACATTACTGTCATTAATAACTTGATAATTATTGCGAATCTTGCAAAGCGGTATGGGACTTTTATGTTTGTCTCAACCCAATCTATCTTCACACTTCGGATTGGCAGCTGATTACCGGACACTTTGTATGATCTTCATGATATTAATCATACACAATGTCATTTCTTATTTTTTTTTGCGCATGTTAACATGTTAATTCATGTTACAACGTGTAACAATGTGCGAGACTGTGCTTGTCAAGTACGCTATTATTGGTTGTAGCACGGACATAAACCGCCTGAAATTGGATGTAGCACAGACTGCCACCACATCAAAGATGCCGTTGTAGGCGGTCGAGCCTAATGTGCTATTGTGTGTAGAGTGGATGGTAGCATGCTCTTGCGTAAATTTTCCGCTAATTTCATTAAGCCAAGTTTAATTACAAGCAAAAATGGGTAATGACCAGGCGAAGGTGGAGAGCAAATCGGAAGAAGAGAAGAAAAAATTAAAACCTTGCTGCGCTTGTCCGGAAACAAAAAAAGCGAGAGATACGTGGTATGTAAATTGTAACTCAAGCTAGATCCGTATAAAATAGGTTAGAAATATCATAGATTTAGTTTTTGCGGCCGGTTGTTCCAACTTCTTAGTAAGTTAATTGATGATGATTAAATCATATGTCTGTCGGTCTAAGTGGAAAGAAAACAAAGAAAAACATATGATTTAACTATCAGCTAACTTACCAAGAAGTTGGAACAACTAACCCTAAGATATATATAAATATCAAATTTTCAAACTTATATTTTGATAAATGGTCAGTAAAAAGCTATAAGCGATTTTTTTCCTTGTTATATTCTGTACAAAACTAAAACCAAAAAAAGATTCAACAAGCAGCAGTATATGCAATTTGAAAATGTCACAGCATTGTGTTATATGTTAATTTTGTTCACAGTATTATAGAAAAAGGCGAGGAAAATTGCGGCGACCTTATAGAAGCGCACAAAGTCTGTATGCGATCTATGGGATTCAATATATAAGATAATTAGTAAAGAAGAAAGGATGTCCTGTTACGAGAGTATTTGTTGCGCAGACAAATACTTGCGAAGAATCTTAACATCAGATCATAGACATTTTGATGTCTGTGCAATCTGTCTTTGTACATTAATTTACTTTTAAGCTTAAAAGTAATATTATGTCCAACCAAATGTGAGTTCCTTATAATGTAGATCAATAGATATTTTTCTGTTTCATTTTATTTATTTAACAATAAGATTGCTGAACAGACTGTTGATAGAATTGATTGTTAATAAAAATTAAGATTGATAAACATTTACTTGTGCAAGCTAAATATGTCCTCTCTGTTTTCTTGCAGCTATTTTTCTGTCATCTGTTCGATATTAATCTTTTGTTTGAAAATATATTTTGTAAGGTGAGACTGGAAGTAAAAGGAGAAGCCATGTTGGGAATTCTAACAAAGCATATATTTTAATTTGATGTGTGGCTAATGCGAAGGTTTTACTTCTTGCATATAACAATTCCACAGCTTGGTTTCCCTGAACACTCCAAATAATGAACAGATTTCTTAATCGACATATGGCGAAATCCAGTATTATAATTAATAATCGTCATTGTTTTTGACGTTTCCTTACGGTCAGTCGTCGTAACGTTATTGCGAAGTGGTCCTACTGGGCTGAAAGACAAACTTACATTCGACTGGTGCACCATAATTATCGAAGCTATATAAAACAACGACGCGACATTCACGGGTCGGATACGGGTGAGTGTCGCGTCCGCTATCGAATGATCGCAAATATATCTTTAACTACAATAATAAATAGGTCTTAGAGATACATCAGTACAATTTATATGTGTGAGAAACATGATAAGAGTAATAATAATAAGAATTTACTAAGTCACGTAACTGTAAAGTGTATAATATAAATAACAAGTAAATGGACTGTACTATTTTTCTTTTTTTTTTCTTCATCTATCTTCTCATTCACAGCATTGCATTGGACTTACGAGCTAGGACATAAGTGTAGCCTAGAATCGATTGAATAATTAAATAGAATATTTGTAATTAGTATGAAAGTAGTTGTACTTTTTATGCGTGGGCAAGTGAAGTACGATATAACGAAGAGAGTGTGCAAATGTATAATGTTTATGTTTGTGTGTATGTTTTGTATGTATGTATGTATGTGTGTGTGTGTGTGTATGTGTGTCGTATAATATATGAAAATGCGACACAGTCACTTTTGCAGACACTCCAGACTCCCATATAGAAGCGTTTTAGCAATTAAAATTCGTCAAAGAATATCTTTCATATCGTTATATAAAATTTGTTGTAATTGTATATATCGTATGGCTCTCTCGGCACTTTTCATATTGACTAAAAATCGACAACGTGTTGCGACGGGAAGTATCTTCCGTCGCGAGTCACGGAATGTGAAGAACGAGACGAGTGGCACGGGGAACACCGCACGTCGATTCTGGAGCGTTTCCAAGAGTGTGTCCATCGGATGTATGAGTGATCAGCGTTGAATTGATAACAGCATCACAGCTACGAAAAAGTCTCCGAGTTTTTCAAGCATCACAGCTACGAAAAAGTCTTCAAGTTCGCATTTACTTTTCTTTTTTTTCTCTCCAAGCTGCGCCACGTGACTTTCTCGATGGATGATCAACCGATCGGTGCGAGACGATTGGTCGGCTAAGGATTAGCGCGGTTTGTTCGCCGCGATGAAGATTGAGCAGAACATTTTCTTTTTTGGACAAGAAACAGGAGACGATCGTTTTTAACACCATTCTCCTCATCCGCCTCGTCATCTCGATTTTCTCCTTCTTCTCTGAACAACTTTTATTCTCAAGCGCGCACAGACAGAGACACACACACATTCGTCTTTCCCGAGCTGACGAAGATTCTCAGAGATTCGTGCATTCTCGCGCGCGTAGCACGGCGAACTTTCTTTCTTCTCTTCGAGATATATATATATATATAAGGGCTTCTCCCTCGTTTTTTTTTTTTTCTATCGGATAGAAGGGCAGGCAGAGGGCGGGATTCTTTTACATCAAAATCAAAACGAATTACATTAAAATCGCTCGAACGGCAACGCGTCGAGATAGAGCGCTTTTGATATCCGTGCAAATCAGCTGTCGCGCTGTCGACCGTCGCCGCGGGCACAACGATTTATCAAGGAGTCAGTCCACCATTAACGGCTAGAGAGATGCAAGAATATATTGTTAAATAATATTATCTGCAACTACTACAATGGAGTAAGTCGGCTAGCGGTAGAGAACATAGGACATCGCGGTCACGTAACTCGAAGGATGCCGGACAAGATTGGTTTGAGGCAGTAGTCTATAGTCTTTGCGCTTCGAGCCTCGAGCTCGCTTGCTTCTCGAACCAGCAACTCTCACCTGTCTTGAGGAACACGCATTGATCGTAGAACTTTACTTTGCTGAAAAGAGAAAGAAAAGAGAGAAAAGGAGAGAGAGAGAGAGAGAAAGAGAGACACGTGAAAATAGAACACGCGTGTCGTCTATAAATAACGAGATGGTTTAAAGTTGTTATTACTTGATACTGCGCTTCTGTGTCCATAGTGCCGGTAACGGCGACCACCTGATACTGCCTGGCCTTCATCGCCGCGGTGGACTTCCGCACGAGTCGCATCGCACCGGGCGCGCTGCTCGTGCTGTTGAAGTGCGACATTTGCGCCGGGCTGTGACTGGGGTCCAACACCACCATGATGATGGAACCGTCCCTCAACTGCTCTACGCCCATTATCGTCCTACTGTGCCCTGAATGGAACGATAGATACATTATCGTACCCGGCGAAACGAACGCGATGACAATCGTCCTCGCGTTGATCCTCGCGAGAAGTTGGTTGTTTCGTTTGCGCGATGGTCTTAACCCCTTCCGTGGCACGGACGCACCGATGCGTCCAGCCAAAACCGTGCCGTAAGTGGCACGGACGCACCGCGGATGCGTCCAGATCATTTTCGTGTTGTATGGAATTTTAAGTGTAATAACTATTGTTGTAGAATTTTTATCAAGTATTTTTCGGGTCGCTGATTACGAATTTCAACTTAGTTTTTTATAATTTGTTAATAGAAAAAAAACTATAATCGAATTAAAATGTCGGAAAATTGTAAATTTTTCTCTCACACACGGGATGTGTGAGAGTGAGAAAGAGTGCGAGGGAGAAACCGAGGAGAGACCGCGGCGTCCGATGGAGGGATCGGCGTCGTTAGAACAGGGCAGCGGCGTCATCAATGGATTTCGCGCGACGTTCGGCGTCGTTTGACCGCAGCGCCTAAAGGAATCCGAGTGTTCGGTAGTACCAAAAAACAGGATCTACGACGAAGAGCGAGCAGCGAACGAGTCAGTTCGCAGCGAGCAGCAAGAGCGTTAAGAGCGATTTTATATAAAAATCGTTAATTTAGTGACTTGAGAAATGACCGATTACTTTTATTTATAATATTAAGCATTTCTAAACATTTTAGTCGCCATATTCGATCCGCCATTTTGAATTTCTATATTTTGACCTCAAATTCGGCTTCAGCGACCAAAAAAACTGAAGTATATAAATTATTGAAAAAATCCGCCCCGCCATTTCTTTGGGGCGGTTTCAGTGCATTTTACTGAATTTTGCTCTGCCACGGAAGGGGTTAATTTTTGAACGATATTCATAGTTGAACTTTACACATATATTTAAGATCGTCCCAAGTTCGTCTTTAGATTCTCCGTGATCAGTTAAACGGTCCATATAACACCTGTAGATACATATTTAAGGCGATCTTAAATATATAAAATGTCTCTGAGTACCCGTCTTAATCAATGACCAGAATGAATGAAACGACAAATCGAGACTGTCCGCTTTACCTTGATGCTGAAGATACAGCGGCGGCTTGAAGTCGTCGCATCTCTGAAAGTACTGCAGGACCCAATTGAACAACTCCGGATGGCCGCCGTCCGCACTGGTGGGTCTGTGGAAGTCCACTAGCTGGCACCTGTGCGAGACAGACAGGCAGAACGGTATGCGTCGTATGATTTTGGCGACCGGCCGAGATCATGGAACTTACTTTATCCTCAAACTAGACAGCAGCGTGAATACCTCCGTGGCGCCGATCCATTTCCTGGTGTTGACCAGTTTACCGCCGAGCTGCTCGGCACCCTGGATGTCGAAGCCCTGCGTCCACGCCCACTCGATCATCTTCTGCAGCCGGGAGATCGACGGCATCGAGGTGCGCAGCGGGCTCTCCGTGGAGCTGTTGCCACCCGCGCCCGAGCTCCACGCCTTGTAAACTAGCTCGTTGTACCCTGTATGCTGCAAGAGAGACGAGATTAGCATCTGCATGTTCCTGTAACCGCATCCCCAGCCTTTGTCGCCGTAGGTCGACGCGTAATGGTCCACGGTGGAACACATCCAGGTGTTCACGACGTTACTGCACGCCTGACTGACGGCTCGCACTTTTGGGACCAGCCCTGCGCAGAGAAACGGGCAACAGCGTCGTGAGGATCTTTCTCTTCTCACTTCTGGGTGAAGGAAATCTTACTGTATTAAACAGAGTACCGCGTGTCGCTTGATCCGACTTCCGGCTTGATGTCGCGTCCTTCATGGACTCGTTGCCTCGATTTCTCTCTCCCCGAAGAAGCGAACTGGAATGCGCACGAAACGTGTCGGAAACAAATCCACCAAGGACGCGGCATCAAGCTGCAAGTCAGATGCAAGTACTTCTCTCCACATTACGGAGGCCTAAAATATCAGTGACGCAAGTGATCTCTCGATCGCTTTCAAATTATTTACCGCGTGTACAAGAACTGCCGTCGTCGATGCCGCTACTTTCGGCCACCCGGAGCTCGATCTGCCTCTCGAAGAAGTCTGCCACCGTCATCTCGCCCGCGTACACGGCGCGTTGCATATTGGTGACGCTCTGCTCTCGGAAGTTACCCTGATTGTCCATACCGTATTGCGCCCTCAGCATCTCGAACTCGCGCTGCTCGCGCAGTTTCCTCACCTCCTTCTCTCTTCTCTCCATGTCCTTCGCCAGCATCCTGTCGGTCGACACGTCCGGCGTCACGGGCGACGGCGTGCTCTTCTTGCTGAAGTGCTCTTCGATGTGTGCCATTAGGTCGTCATTGTTCTTGAACAACGTACTGAGGCATACCGGACAGGCGGGTGTGTCGCTGCCGATGGTGGCAATGTCGGACTGCGAGGTTGTACCATTCGCAGGGCTGCAAATCAATCCCACTGAATGCTCATGGCTGCTTGACAGCGAGCAATCACGCTGCCACTCTGTGGCGTCGTGAATCCGCGGACCTAATACGTACCTGAGTATGTCCTTGTGCTCGATATTAACGTGCAACTCAAGGTCAGAAGAATTTGGAAAAGACGTAACGCAAAGCGGGCAGTTGAAGACACCGTCCCGTGATGGCGGTGATTCCGGCGGGAAGGACGGCGAAGTGAGATCAAAGTGTTGGCGATTGATATGCTCTTCCAGCCTGAGCGGGCTGTCGGAACTGTAGGGGCACATCGGGCACTCCTGTACTGGAAGTTTCGGGGAAGCGTGCGAGCGCAACTGTAAATTTAGGCCTGAACGCAGCGGTGAACCGTGGCCAGCTGCTCCCTCCAACACTGAACAAAGAAGAGAGAAAGAGAAAGAGAGAGAGAGAGAGAGAGAGAGTCATGTACAATTCGTTCGTCACATCCAAGAATACAAACGAGAAAAAAGATCACTGATCACTCACCATTGTTGGCATTGCTACTGTTGTTGTTATTGTTATTATTATTCACATTAGGATTCACTAGTTGGACGTCCGACTTCCTCGGCGAGATTTGCTGCTGCTGCTGCTGCTGCTGCTGCTGCTGTTGTTGCTGCTGCTGTTGTTGTTGTTGTTTAACGCGCATTCCCAGCGAGCTGCCCCAACCGTTCTGCATGTGAGGAGGTCGCAGGGACATCGACGGCGAGGAGGCTCGGCACTCGTCGCGCCCGTGGTCGTCCATCAGCGAGTCGTCGTCGATGAATGCCATCACATCGTTCTCCGGGGTGCTGGAATGTCAGGCGACGAGGGGAAAAAAAGGACGGACGGGAGAGACGACGCGCCGCGCTTTACCGTATCGGACGACGGTGCGGATGAGCGATTATCGGACGCCTCGATTTACGTTTACGAACGAACGCACGCAGGTGGGAGAGGGAGGGAGAGAGAGAGAGAGAGAGAGAGAGAGAGAGAGAGAGAGAGAGAAGAGAGAAGAGAGAGAGAGAGAAGAGAGAGAGAGAGAGAGAGAGAGTAAGCAGGGACGAGAAGCAGGCAGGAGAGCGCGTTTGCCAGCACTGTGCGTGCCCCGGCCGTGTTGCTTGCCAGTGAAGAAAGTCCTTTCGCGCGTTATTCGCGCCGCTCCATCTGCCGTTTCCCGCCATTTTCCAAATCAGCTGTTGGTGACACTGTGCGCGCGGTGGTGAGCGTGCCGCGCGACGGACCTCCAACGGACGAATTCCGCAAAGGCCGAACCGACGTGCACACACACGTGCGGCATGTGACGCGCCATTTCGCTATATATAGAGTCCGCTCGTGCCGCAGCGACATGCACTTTAAATTAAACCTAGGCGTCGGATGTTCATGTGAACTGCGATAATCCGCGCGTAGGCGCGTGGACAGCGTTGAGTTATGTTTAACGTGTTGTGTACCTACGAGAGAGAGAGAGAGAGAGAGAGAGAGATTGCAATTTCGTGTCGAGTTTTCACCAACTTGCGCGCTACGCGTGCGTATTGGAAAATTATTAAATATCAACGGAGAGAGCGAGTCTTCCTCTAACCGGAATCTCGAAATGAGAAAAGACATGCGGAGATCTTCTTAAAGGTTTCGTTTAAAGCGTCGGCGGCTGTGCGGTGTAACGTAGGAAAAATCGCACGCGAAGCACCGTTTGTCGCAACGTTGCAACGTTAAATAACGAGATAGCGGGTCCCGAAGGTTATCCTGAATTAGACCGCTCGCCAGTCAGCGGCAGTATCCTGACTCACCGGTCGTGAAATTAAACGGCAGGTCGGTAAAGTTACCGGTAATTTACTGGCATCATTTGGTAACGCAGCACGTTAATTTACTGGCGCCCGGCACAATCGTCGGGTTAATCTATGGCTGCCGGCCAGTTTTGCGCCGGGCGAGTGCACGCTTGAGTGTCCGCTGTTTGCGGCTGTTAACGGCACGTTGCGCGATCACGTCGGTAAATAATCAAGCCCGACGCGAACGAACGAAATTGTATCTTTATACGTCCGGATTCGCGGGGCGGTGAAAAGCGGCGCCGACCAAAAATGTCCGCCGGTTTGTCTCTCGCGTGAATCCCTCGAGCCCTCAAAATTCACAATGTTCTGATTTGTCTCTTCATTGAAAAAATACCAAAAAAAAAAAGAGAAAAAAATCAGCCGTCGAACATGATCTACTGTCGACGGTAACGGGAGAAAACGGAACTGAACTGGACAAAGCGACGCGAATCACAGCGATTTTACTTCCGCGGCGCACTTTCTCCCGTTATCGTTCAATGTCGGGAAGGTAAATAACGCGAGAGAGTGTAAAACACGCGAGCAACGTGAAAGCAACGAGGACGGGCTCTCGTATGCGTCGCGTCGCGCCGAGCGTACCTCGGGGTCAGGTAGTCCAGGTGAGCGCTGTTGACGTGCACCAGCATCTCCGTGGGCGAGATCTCGCCCAGGTCGCAGAAGGGACAGTTGGCGGCGCCCTGAAGATGATACAGCACCATGTGCGAGCGCATCTCCTCGTCGTTGAAGCCCTCCAGGCCGCAGATCTCGCACGTGTAGTTCATCTCCGGCGGCTTGCTGGACGCCATTTTCCGCGTGTCCGGGGTAGCCTTGCGGATCCTTCGTCAGAAAATTTCATCGCGCCACGTTAGAGAGAAGCGGCGATCGCGCACCGGACACCGGAGAACCGTGTTAAGCACCGAGCGATTTCGCACGGGCGGGATTTGGTTTCCGGGGAGATGAAATCACGCGAGTTGAACGTAACGCGAGTAACGCAATCCTCCGGCGTGTAAAAAGCGCGGTTCGCCAATATTTACCGCGGAAGCCCTTAATTATCGGCTTGATCGCGCGTCACCGTCGTTAATAACCCCACCGGCAGCGCGCGCGGAACGATCACGCTCCGCGTCAATAATTCGCGATGAATCGTGAGTCGAACATAAAGCAGATTACGAATTTTTCCCCGCGCGGGCTCGGCGCGTTAATATTTACGTTCGACGTTCGGCGTGACATCACGTCCATTCGTAATTAATACATCCGTAGTGAGCGGCGAGTCGCTGTCATTTCTACCATCCTCTCTCCTCTCCTGTTTTTCTCGTCTCTCAGTCTTATCTGTGCAGTTCATTGCTCCCTTCGTATCGTTGTCGGGAGCGCGCCTCGAGCGATCAGTCACGCAGATGGGAAATGTTTCTGATTCGACAAGCACCCCCTCCGCCCCCATCCCCGTCGCGGTCGAGCGCCGCGGAGCGACACGGAACGAGGGTGAGGTCGCCGGGGTTGTGATTATTCCAGGCCCGCTTATACGCTGCACATTGCGGCGGTAGTCCGCACGAGGCGACGCTTTAACGACGCGTAATTCGACGTTTGCGTAATGCGCGCGCGATTTTCGATTAGCCTCTTCCGGCACAATCGATATGACCCCGGCGGCGCGACGCGGTGGTGTATCGCCGCGGCGAGTGAACCCTGCGATCTCTCTGGGTCACTCTCGCGCCTCTCTCGGAACCGGTTCCGGCGAGGAGTGACGAAAGTCCAAGCGAGCTGCTGTTGTCCGTTTCGCGAGGAGGCTCCGATCGATTAAACTTCCCCTCGTACATCGCCGCTGCGACACGCACCCACGCAGCTGGGCGATTCAATTCGATTCCTTCTCGCGTGAATCTCCATCCGCGGCGAGGAGCCACCAGGAGGTCGTGCCAGTCTGGCTTCGGTCGTCGCGAGTCGGCCGGTCAGCGGATTCTGGCCGACGCGGCGCGACGGCGGAAGGCAGCCCTCGCGGAAGCGCCTTCTCCTCGTCCGTCTCGCTGGGGGTGCCTTTCAACGTTCACCGGAGCGCCGGGCGACGCGCGAACGAACGCCTGGGCGATTTCGCCGTCGCGTCGCGACGGCGTTCCGTTTCCCCGACGACTCCTCTCGTTTCTTTCGGGAGCGCGGTGCATTCATTTCCGCGACCGTGAAAAATGGGGTGGGGTGGGGTGGGGGGAGGAGGAGGCGGGGAGGATTACGACGGCACGTCCGCGTCGGCGGCATAACAGCTCCGACGAGTTCCGGCTTCTCTTCCGGCGGGCATTTCTCCTCGCGGAGCCTCCGTCTCTCTCTTTCTCTTTGTCGTCGGGATTGATCGAACGGATCGCGATCGAACAGATCACAGCAGCCGACGGCACAGCGACGACGTCGCTGCAACCTCCTGCCTCCGACCGGGCGCACTCGATTCATCGCGCTCGATCTCGACGGGAACGGCAAGAAATCGCGAAACGCGAGCGACGGAGAGCGACGGACGGTCGCTCTCTCCCTCCCTCTCGCTGCACTACCATTCCACTTTCACGAAACGACGCCGGTCTGATGTGGCTTCTCTCACCTCACGATGGTATTCCACCCCTCGCTAGGGCTCGGCTATCAGCCGTGTCTAATGCCGTATCGCGACGTCGGGGCGGCGAGTCAATCGATGGACTCTCGCCAGCCGAAGGCCAACAGGAAATCCGCGAGAATCCATAACTCTTTCCTCTTCTCTCGCGCGCGAGAGAGCGAGAGCGGGAGAGAGAGAGAGAGAGAGAGAGAGAGAGAGAGAGAGAGAGAGAGAGGGAGAGTGAGTGAGAGAGAAAACGGACGCTTCGATCAGCGATCGGCAGCGTCGCGTCGCGTCGAAGACGTCGACGACAACGACGACGATCGCGAGCTCACCACACAACACACGAAGACGACGACGTCGACACGTCGCCGCCGTCTCGCGTGGTAGGAGAGACGAAGGGGGTGCGTCGCGACTCTTTTTATTTGCTCGCCCCCGGTGAAACTAGGCCACCGAGTGACTCGCATGAGGAAACGGCCGCACGTCCGGCCTCCGTTGGGTTGGGTTGACCCATTTCTGGCTTCTCCGGCCAGTTCGGTACTCGCGCACTCTCTCTCTCTCTCTCTCTCTCTCTCTCTCTCTTCTCTCTCCCTCTGTCGGAAGCCCATCGGACCTGGCGACTGCAACTTCCTCTTTGACACTTCCTTCTTTCCTTCCTTCTTTCTTTCCTTCCTTCCTTCCTTCCTTCCTTCCTACCTTCCTTCGCGGAGCTCTTCCGCGACCTTCTCTCATTCGTCCGTCCGTCCGTTCGTTCGTTCGTCCGTTCGTCCATTCGTTCGTCCGTTCGTTCGTTTGCTCGCTCGTTCACTCGCTCGCTCCTTCATTCACTCACCGAACAGTCGGATCGATCATTCGCGTTCTCCTCGTGGTAGGCCCTCGCGCTTGTCCCGCGGTAGCGGGACCGCCGCTTCGCCTAACACGCAACCCCGTCGTTCGGCTCCATATGATAGCGCCCGCAGTCGTCCCGTCCCGTCCGTCCGTCTACGTACGTCCGCACGCACGTAGGTACGTACGTACGCGCGCGTGCGGCCTGGCTTCACTGCGCGGTGAGGATGCTGTCACCCTCGCGAGAGTCTACCCACTGCTCGGCCACCGACAACCGTCGCGAGTCACCCGTAATAAGTCCACCCCCGAGGACGCTACCAGCGCCGCCGTCGGCACCCGGAGTGCGCCACCGGTAACGAGGCTCGGGCTCCAACCCCGAGCGGGAGAGGGTGGCTCGCCGGAATCGAGCACCGCGGCTGCGATACCGGCAGTCAAGGTGTCGCGGTAGCGATAACAATATTTTACGGCCGAACGTCATTATCGCTATCTCCTGGTCCAGCCGATCAAACAAACTTGAAATAACCGGAAACTCCCGCCGGAGTTTCTGGTTTAAGTAAATCGTGGCTCTCCAACTGGTGATGGATATTTCGTCGGGGGTGCTTCGTTCGTGCTCGATATCTTTGTCGATATCAATTACGGCAATCGCGGACTCGCGGGGACACCGCGAGCGTGTCTGATTTGTCCGATTGAATAAATAATTCAACCCGGTTCTCTTTCCGGGCCGGGTCAAGGCTGAGTCTGGACCGCGTCCAGACTCCTGGTCGAGGGGCCCGGATCAGACGATCCCTCCCCCGGTCCTCGATCATCGGCCCGTGCTCGATGGAGGCAATCTCGCGGATAATGCGCGCGACGCGCTCGCGATCTTCCCGGATGATCTCTCTCGACGGGACAATCGTAACGACGGCACGATGCAACGCAAGACGCGCCGCTCGCAGTCATCCTTTAGCCGGGAGCGGCGCTCATTATCGCGCGTGCCGATTCCGTTAATCGCCGTCGCATTGTCTCTGCACGCAGCCGAGCTTTCCATAATGACAGGTCGGCGGCCGGCGGTGAGAGCAAAGGGGTAGTAGGCTCGCGAGAGGCTCGCTTCATTATCCAAATTGCGGTATGCAACGCGAGCGCGCAGGCTGACGTTGCCGTTGGACGAACAGCACGTCGCTGGCGCGTCGCCCGGCTTGATGGACGTGCCATTGCGTTTCCGCGCCGGCGCGGCGCGGCGCGGCGGCGCATCGCGAATGCAAAGCGACGCGCGGCTCGGGATTCCGCTCGCGAACGCGACGTGCGATCGCGACAAATTCGCACGGGATATTCGATTTCTCACGGCGGCGCGCTCCGGCGAACGCTTCGGGGCTCGTCGCTTCATTGAGATGCAGCCGCGACGATCGGAGCAGGATATTGCTGAGGAACGCTCAGCGAGCCCGTTCGGTCCTGCCTTCTTGTCGACAGCTTTCTCCGTCTTCGTCGTGAGTCGACGGGAATTCATCGCATTTGAATTTTCCGCCGTCTCCTCCCGCGCTTGCCCGCGTTTGGCAATGTCCTTCCTCGCGCTGCACTTTTCTCGGACGCGCGTCCGAGAAAACTTTTTTCGAGACACGGCGCGAGAACGCGCGTTTCTCCTGTCAACGTTCGCCGATGAGACACGGCGACGAATTTCGTCCCTTCGTTTCTGCGAGCGAGGAGGAATTTGAGAGCGATGATCGATGACCGACGACGGTGACGACAACGACAACGGCAATGGCGACGACCTTACCCCGGACTGCTGCTTCGCGAGGAATAAAAATTCGCGTTCGCTCCGCGCGCTACATGCATACACGACGCAGTCCAATTAGCCGATGTCTGCACGGAGATAATTAATAACCATTCCGGCTACTTGAGCGAGTTAAATCGAGTCGGGCCGAGGTTCGCGTTGCGGACCTTCGTTCCTGGTATCAGATGGCTCCGATACAAAGAATTCCATCGAGACCGTTTGTCTAGAGGGAATAAATAGCCGCGAGAGCAAAGCGAGCCGAAAGCGGCCTATGGAGAAATGCACGCGATACGTTGAAGTTTCGCGCTCTCAGCGCGGCGTCAGCGAAAGCCAAGCGAAACCTTAAGAGAATTTGATACAAATCCTAATCTCTTCCGTTTGCAGATTCGCGTACGCGCTGTAAATCAATCGCGGTACTCCGGGTAAAATGAAAACATCTTGGAGTAAGATTCGAGAAAAAGGAGAGAGACTGAAAGAGAAGGGAGGAGGAAGACGGATGGATAGTCGCGGCGGAACGCAGCGTTGCATGCGCGAGCGCGACTCGCCGGAGCCGAAGTCTCGCCGAGCGGTAGAGACGCGTGAGCGTCGTTCGCACGGAAATAAAGATTCTGACGGTACTCCGATGATGTCCCGAGGTTAAACCGGTATGCACTTGCGACAACGACGACGTCGATCGCGTTCGCCGCCGTTCGACGCCGATCGGCGAGAAACTGGTTTCTCGCCGGAATCGCCGCTCGCGAGCGGATTTTTCGGCAAGACCGGCGTGCGTGTGCATCCGCATCGGAATAATTGAAATGTATCTTGGCCCGCGAATGTCTCTGTCGGGCGAACGACATGATGGCGCGGGGACCGGTCGAAGCCCGGCGAGTGCCGGTCCCGAAAAGGTCTGCGAAATTTCCCGCCTAACGGAGCGAAACGTATTTCTCCCGTCGACTTGACCGAGGCCGAGGAAGAAAACGCCCGCGGTCGAGTAATTAATTGTTACGGCTCAATCTCGTCGAGCTGAGTGCCTCATTTGGAGCGTGTGCCTTACATCCGATCGCCGGATCGCCAGAGGAATCGCATTCCCTCGCGTCCCGATCGCCGAGCGCTGCGAGCGGCCTGTCCGATTTGTACGTCGTTACTCATTGTTAATTATCTATGCGCGGCAGGTAGCAGTAGATGTACCGAGATAAGTCGCCACCGTCGTTGGTAGCGCGGAGGTCCGTCCGTGCATTGGTCCAGCGGTGTTTGAATATTTATACGATCATGCGCGATTAACATAGCGGACGTGTCGAGAGGACTTCGATCACGGAACTGGTCGCCGCTTCGCTTCGTTGCGCGACTCTCTGTCTGGGAAGCTAGAGAGAGAGAGAGAGAGAGAGAGAGAGAGAGAGAGAGAGAGAGAGAGAGAGAGAGAGAGAGAGAGAGAGAGAGAGAGAGAGAGAGAGAGAGAGAGAGAGAGAGAGAGAGAGAGAGTAGTAGACTGTAGACCTTACTACGTATTTATATTTCCATTCTCCGGCGTCCGGCGGAAGGATGACGAGTGGCGACAGGGAAAGAATGCCGGTACTGAGAAGAACGCGAAAAACGCGCGTTGCGCGGCGAACGTGTTCTCGCGCGCAATCGCACGAGGTTGCGAAGAAAAGCCGGGAGAAAAGAAGAAATCGACAGGCGGTAATTAGTCCCGCTCGTAATCGCGAGTCACGGGTGGGAGGAGGAGCTATGCATTTTAAACTCAATTTACTTAAAATTAGTGCCCGGTGCTTTAGCACGGTTTGCATAACATCCACCAATTGTGCAACCCGCGCGCAAATGACACACCACGCCGCCGCTATTTACATCGGCGGCAGAATAACGGCCTTCCCCCCTTTAAAGGGACGGATGAAAGCGACGAAGAGAGACGCGAGACCAGAGGGAACGAAAGCGAGAGACATGGTAGAGAGAGAGAGAGAGAGAGAGAGAGAGAGAGAGAGAGAGAGAGAGAGAGAGAGAGAGAGAGAGAGAGAGAGAGAGAGAGAGAGAGAGAGAGAGAGAGAGAGAGAGAGAGAGAGAGAGAGCAGGGACCGGTCGTCCGCTGCCCACGTGCGGATTGAAAGCGATTTATCGACGGAATAAATTAATAAATTACGGCCGCTCCGAGAATCCACTCCGATCAGTCAATCAAATATCCGGAGATGACGGCGACGGTGTTTTCGGACACCCGTCGGCCGGTGAGGCATCGAGAAAAAAAATCCGCGCCCCGCCGAATCTGCGGATTACGTGATAAATCAGACGTATCGGGGGAGGGGGTAACGATAAAAAGGAAAAAAGGAGCGAAGCGAGCGCAAACGATGCCGCTCGATGAAGGGAGTGGCGCTTAATCGCCGCTTAATTACGGCCAATTCGGTGCAACGTCCGTCTGCCCGCGATATAATTTATCGGTGACGCTACGGAGCGGAGTCGATCAGCTCGTGCGGACAAATCTTGTGTCGCAGATAATACGCGTGTCTCTCTCTCGTTCCGGCGGAACGTCTATCCTCCTCGCGTCTCGTAACGTCGTCGTAACGCGGCGTCTCTCGTCGTTGCGCGAGGATAATGCGCGCGTAACAAGTACGTAGCGGTAGTATCAGAAGAGCGTTTCGGGGCGAGCGACTCGAGCTCGATATCGCGGCTCGTTATCGCGCGGCGGAAGTGTAACGTCGCGAGGTTATCGGTTTTTCCTCCTTCTCAGAATACGGTGCCACTCGAGGCGCTATGGGAAGTAATGGGCCGCAACGAAGGCTAGATTTATGGGCGCGGACTGATTTTCGTCTGACCTGCCTCGACCGACGGGGGTACTTGAAGAGATACTGCTGCCGGAGAACGAACATAGTGGTCAAGTGGTCCATTACGCTCGCCCGCCCTCTCGCCCGCTCTCTCTCGTTCGTTCGTTCGTTCGTTCGTTCGTGCGCGTCCTCCTCCGAGTCGTCGTCTCTCCTCGCTCTCGTCCTCGTCGTGTCCTCGTGCGTGCAATCCGAGAAATTCCGTCTCCTCGGCGAGTTCTGGAGAAACTCCGGATAAGTGACCCGCGGGCTGAACGACAGCAATGTGCAGCGTGTCGCGTAGCTAATGCAACGCGATTGCGCAAAGGCGCACGCCCACGCGTTATGTTAATGTTATCGAAGTGTAGTTATCGCGACGCAAAACGATTTAACGCTCGGGAAGTCTCACTCCGTCGACATTATTAGCGCAAAAGTCGAGAGCGACCCGCTCGCCCCTCCCCTCCCCCCAGCACGTGGAGCGTGCTCTGCAACCCTCCGCGATGGGGTTGCCAGATGGACGGGGTTTCCGGGAATGTCCCGGAATGTCTTAAGCTTGCCCTGTGTCCAGGAATCTAAGTCTTCTGTCCCGGAAACAAATCAAAATTTCAACAAAGTCATGATTAACATTCATGTTTCTAACTGGTACCAGAAGGATACTTGAGAGCGGCCATCGCGCCGCTTATAGAATCGAATTTTTCGACGTGCCACCTGAGAAAATTCATGTCGACTGAGCCATTATCGTGGTGAAAAATACAGTCGCACGGTTTACGCCCGGACTTCTCTCTGCTATTACCTAATTCGCGCATTTGTTTGTCGCGAGAGTGGCGGCAGCTCTTAGCTGTCTCTTACTCCTCCATCTCTCAAATTTAACCAAAAAATTCTCCGATAACCCATCTTTCAATCGTCGCCTAAAAAATGTCCCGGAAACAGTCACTTCGCATCTGGCAACCCCACTCCGCGATGACTTTCCCCATAGGTTGCCTCAAAAAAGTTAAACGCACAGGACGATCGCTCCGCGGGAATCGGCGTCCCGCGCGCTCTCTCGAGACATCAAATTTCGCTACTTGCGCGCAACAAAGAATCGTCACGTCGCGCGGTTGCAGATCGCGGTAAGGCGGAGGAGGAGGAAGAAGAAGAGGAGGATAAGGGCAACGCCATGGGAATCGGAGGCAGGCGGAAAGGAGAGGGACAGGGACGAGGAAAAAATGCGGGGATGCGTGTGGGTATACGCTCGAAGATGTCACAATAGCGGTTGCACCGCGTGACAACCGCACGCCACGCGTCTCTTCCCACCCACACGCTATTCCACCGTCTTCTTCTCTCTCTCTCTCTCTCTCTCTCTCTCGCTCTTTCCCTCTTTCTCTCGCGCTCTCGCGCCCTACGTCGTCGCCCCAACCGGCCCCCGGCTCGACGGGGCCCCGGCTCTCCTCGTTTCTTCCTCTCACCCACTCAGTCAGTAAAAAGCTCACTCGGCTTGTAAGTGCCGCGAAAAGCTCAGTCGCTCGCGAGCTGCGCTCGAGTGCACACCTCGGTTCTCTGCGAGTGCTTCGCGTGTGTCTCTTCGTCATGTGAGGCCTCCGCGAGACCGTGGGCGCCTGTTGACATCTTTTTTTCCTCCTTCTTCTCCTCCTTCTTCTTCACCTCCTCCTCCTCCTCATTCTCCTCCTACTTTTTCTTCTTCTTCAGCACCACCTTCTTCTTCTCTGCTTTTCTCCTTTCTTCTCCTCCGCGTAGAGACACGCGCGCGTACGTACGTCGTGCGTGCGTGCGTGCGTGCGTGCGTGCGTACGGTGGTGAGATGAGGTGAGAACTCGCGGCGCGAATATCTCTCGTCCACGCGGAGGGCTCGGAGGGCGAAGGGGTGCCTCGCACGCGCGCGCTGGCAAAATGCGCGGCTCAACGGTGCTGCTGATAACGGCGATCGCGAGCATCTTCCCGCCGGTCGCCGCGAATCCCGTCCTCAACGCCGCGCAAGGTAAAGTTTCTCTTTCTTATTTATGGGCGGGGGGGAGGGAGAGGGGAATACAGGTAAATTAATTAGAATAGATTGAAGGGAGGATGCACGTTGCGATCTCCGGTGAAGTTGAAATCGAGCGAAATGAAGGGGACAAGACCTGAATAATTGAGGGGATGAATGAAAGCGGAGGGATCGGTAATCCACTCGGCGAAGCTATAAATCCCCGATTTTCATCCGCTTACTCGCGCGCTCATTTTAAAGAGTCTGCCGACACTTTTGTCCGATCCTCCGACAGGGAAATCACTTGGGAAACGATAGGGCGGAATAAAAGTTCCAGCGTGTAACGATTCGCGATCAACGCGCAGGTTCAGCGTCAATCTCGCGGAGGCGGTCGATTCGATCGTCGCGGAGTCGCTCGTGATGCGAGAAAGCATCATCGATCGCGTCGTGATCGATGAAGAGACGCTGATATATGCCGTCATCGAAGGATACTCGTACGAACGTGCGCATGCCATCGTGCGTCGAACGGACCTTTCGGAGCGGCTATTTTGGCCGCTGCGGCGGCTTGCTTATCACCACGCCAGATGAATCGTGATTATTTTTAAGACCGGCCGGCCCCCGATGTCGCGCGCTGCCCGGCGCTTTCGCGGCGCGCAAAAATACGAGCCCGGGACAGATTCATTGAACCCTTCCTCGTGAGTGTTCGTCATCGCGGCAAGAAGATATCAACGACAACTTCCCGCCATATGTGCGCGTGCTCCTCTCTCTCTCTCTCTCTCTCTCTCTCTCTCTCTCTCATCCTTCTCCTCCTCGTCTTCGGCTCGTCTCTCTCCCCTTCGTCGCGCTGATTTTTTTCATCCGCCTTTGCTCCGCCACCGCGACTCGATTTTAATGTCTCTGTTCGCTCTCGTCGCTGGAAACGTCCCCGCGGCAGAGGCCGGCTCGGGAAAGAGCTTTTTTGCCGCGATTCGGGCGCAGTGTACTCACGAGTTCTCACGAGTCGTCGCGCGCCGCAAAAAAGCTCCGCTCCCCTCCGCGATAACCGCGATGCTCTCGCGTCCGGCGGTGTAAAAGCCAGCGATCTTCCTCGCGCGCTCCATCGACGCGTTCGTAATCCGCGTCGCGGTTAATTGGCCTCGCGTGGAAATAATAATGATCTCACACGGAGCTCTGCCGAGTCCTCTGTCGAGAAGGCATAGGCAAGCGCGATTATCGCGGCGGTTCACACGAGGCGCGCTTCAGGTCCGAGGAAGCGGCCCCCGCTTGTCGAGCGAGCGAGCGAGCTGCCGATTACAATAATCGCCGATGGATATGCAAAGCAACGCGGGATGATATTATGAATATCAACGGTGGCCGTGCCTCTTCGCTCATTTCGTTCTCGATAATCGATAAATAAAGGGCGCGATTTTAAATAGCGTGGCCGGGGAGAGGAGGATTCGTTTCGTCGCGAGACGCACGATTCTCCGCCCTTACGCATCGCCGAGAGCTGCGCTCTCTCTCTCTCCCTCTCTCTCTCTCTCTCTCTTCTCTCTTTCCGTCTACCTCCCACCGTTTCAACCTCTCTCCCTGGGCCCTTTAATCTCTCTGAGGAAATTTACACGGTGCACGTGCGTGAATGTGCGAGAACGAGGTGTCGCGCTAACGGTCCCCGGCCTCCGCTCGGCTTCGGCCCGGCTCGCAGGCGTACTCGCGCGCGAGTACAATACAAGAGGAAAGGGAGGAACAAGCGAAGCTGCGTGCTGGCAGCAGCGTGCACACATTCTCGCATAAGTGTATCTACACGCGCGAAAGTCGCGAAGAAGGTGATAACGCGTCGCGTTTATTCGCGCCGGCGCTTCTCGCCCCTCCTCGTTGCTCGCCTTCGATTGCATTTATCGCGGAGGCGCGACGCGGAGGGAACGACGCCCGTGGGAGGAGGGACGAGCACCGCGGCGCGGCGCGGCGTTTCGGAAAGAGGAGATTCAGAGAGAGAGAGAGAGAGAGAGAGAGAGAGCGAGAGAGAGAGAGAGAGAGAGAGAGAGAGAGAGAGAGAGAGAGAGAGAGTACATCGCGTAATTGGAGAGATCCCACAGAATCGACGGCGCTCTTTTTTCCGCGGAGCCTTCGCGTGGGCCGCCGCGACTTATCGCTAAGGTCGCGAGGAGGTCGCGCGGCGTCATTTTTGCGCCGTATTTCGATGGATCGACGGTCGCAATAGTCGCCTCCATTGATTCGTGCGGCACGTCCGCTGATAGGTATCGTCGCTGGGCTGCAAGCCGCGATTTGCATAGAGTGCGAATTGTATCCGCACGTCGCAAATGATTAACACATTCTGAATACCCCGGCACGTCGATCGGCCGGATGCGAGCGCCGGGAACGCCGCGGCGCGATCGCGCGACTTGTTTACACGACTGGGAAATGCCTTCGCGTAACTCGCGCGCGCGAGCGTGTGTGTGTGTGTGTGTGTGTGTGTGTGCATTACAAAATGGCTCGTGTGATTTACGATTATGTTACGGCGCGCGAACGCTTGCCGAATGAGCGCGTGGCGCGCTTACGTAAACGGTAATTATTCCGTCCTAATGATATACGGCGCGAGACGACGCTCGCAGGCTGCGCGTGTCTGCGGCGTGAAGAAAAAATGGGGAGTTGAACGCGCCGAGTTAATCGGCACGGAGTAACGACTCGATTCCCGTTGTCAATAAAATCCCACGTACCTCTCCCCCTCTTCTCTCTCTCTCTCTCTCTCTCTCTCTCTCTCTCTCTCTCTCTCTCTCTCCGTCTCTCTTTCTTGACATGCGTCGACGATGCACATATCTATTCACCGGTTGTCAGGCCGTTATATCGCGAATGCAGTCGCAGCACGTTCGCGTAATTGCACGAATGACAGAAAAATCGTCGAGGCGTCGCGCGCGACTTATCATCGGCAGCTTTAATCGCGGCGGCCGCGTTAAACGGCCCGTTCGGGCTCGTAATGATCTCCCATTTGCGATAGATCTCACCTGCGGAGCGTAAAACGAGCTCCGTGTGTTACGTTGCGTTACGAGCGTTACGCTATCGGCGAAAAAGCCCCGGCCGGGTAATTGGCGGCCCGTGTCGCACGCCACCCTGCTGTATATCTCAACATCGGCGAGAGTACCGGTCGTAACGATTCCCGGCTATACCGGGCTAATTCGATCGGGCCCCCGCGTTTCTAGCCGAGTCTCAAATCCACGGCTCTCCGCGTCGAGCGTGTAATTTCGCGCGTCTCTCTCTCTCTCTCTCTCTCTCTCTCTCTCTCTCTCTCTCTCTCTCTCATAGCGGGAAATTGGAGCGGTGCCTTACGCAAGTCGTAATATACATAAAGTATATTACACTGACACGCACCTACGCACGCGCTCGCACACACACACGCTCTCGTAGATCGCCGATGGATACTCTTAATTAAGCGTCCGCGAACAAGCGCCGCGCATCGCCGCGTCTTCGATCTCGCGCCATCGGCGCACCGTCAATGCATTATTATGCGCCGTTTATCGTTTTCCTAGTAACTTTATTAACGCGGTGCTTCTAGTAGAATCCGCCTCCGGGAGCGCTCAATGAGCCATTATGCCTTCGAAAACCGCGCGAACACCTTCTCTCTCTGTTTCTCTCTCTCTCTCTCTCTCTCTCCCTTTTTCTCTCTCTCTCTTTCTCTCTCTCTCTCTCTCTCTCTCTCTCTCTCTCTCTCTCTCTCTCTCTCTCTCTGTCTTTCTCTTTCTGCCTTTCCATTTTAGCAAATATATACATATTAATCGCATGAAAGTGGGATGGCCGATTCTCAGGCCGATAAGTATTAATTAATTAAACGCGTTTATGCAACGTGGATGTAATCGCCGCTATTATCGAAAAAGACAAGAAAGGAGAGGAAAATCTTCCGTTAGCGTGAGTAAGCATGAGGATGGATGGCATTTGCAGCATCGTCGAGAAACCTCTCGGTTCATTAAAAAGAAAAAAAAGAAAACGAAAAAGGAGAAAAAACTAGATTATACACAGACTTTAACATTCAATTTCGACGAGCACTGCGCGTCCCCCTCGAAAGTTTCACGAGATGAGATGCCTCACGTCATCACCTTCACCGAAACGGTAATTTTCTCGTCGTCCCTCCCTTCCCGCCTCGTACGTATCGCTCTTATCAGGTCAAACGACGGGCAATTAAATCTGTAACATGCACCTCGAATGGCGCTCAGGAAATTCGGGGACACGTGTTAATGTCTTGGCCACGGTGAAGTTTACGCTTTCAGGGCTGTATAATTTGGTCGATCGACTATTAAGTCTACCATAAGGGAAGGGGATTTCCGCCTCTCTCACCTCTCTCTCTCTCTCTCTCTCTCTCTCTCTCTCTCTCTCTCTCTCTCTCTCTCTCTCTCTTTCGTTCTCCGTTGCTCTCTACCGTCGGACCTTTACGAGCGGACGTTTCAACGATTTCGACGGTCGGATAATAAAACGTGGTCGCACGCGACGAACAGCGAGAGATTTCGCTTTGCTTGCGCGATGGAAAATAACGAGCGACACGATGGGCGTGAGGTTTGCGCTTAATAACCGCAATAACGATTATCCGTCGCGGTGATACGAATATATGGAGATAAGCGCGACGGAATAGGCAGGAAAATAGAAAGAGGAGAGAGAGAGAGAGAGAGAGAGAGAGAGAGAGAGAGAGAGAGAAAGAGAGGGCGAGAGGAATCACGACAAAGCGCGAATGCAAGAGGAGACGAGTGTGTAAGCATTCTCTACGACCATGAGGAATCTCCTTGGACTCACATACCGGCCGACGGCGGTACGCGTCTCTCCTCGCAATATCCATGAGTTACGAGGACACGAAATAAGAATGTCACGTATGCCGATGTGCGAGCGCAGTAATTATCAAAGATGTACGGAATCTCGATCGGATTTACCGCGATGGGCCCGGTCAGATGTATCGTCGCGCTCGCTCGCTCGCCCCAAACGTCGTCTCTCACCCTCGCGCGCGCGCGCGCGCGCAATATGGGACGGGGAACGTAATTAGAGAGATACCGGGAGCTTTTTGC